TCCCTTTAACATAGCAGTAATGATGTCTAATTACCAGCAGCAGTGGATTACAGCACCATCAGGAGCAAATCTCTCTGGCTGACAGCAAAGATGAGCAACAAACCTTGAAGCTTCAAGGGGAGAATTCCTAACAAAGTAGTTGAATATTATTTGCTTATTTTTGACCAGCTTAGGACTCTGGAGTTAAAACTGCAATTTCATCCATGTTATGAATTCAGAGAGACTACTGCTGGCCAGAATTACCAATGGTAATTAGTTTTACATTGAAATTGCTTGCACCTATGGAGAGATCAGTGATGCAAAGTTTTGTTTGTTTGTTTAATTCTTCTAAGTTTTGATATTCAGTTGTGGCTTTCTCTATGGGCAGGATAAAATCAAGTTTGTGGCAACACTGACACAAAAATGGTGCAAGACAACAAGCATAGCGCTGAATGATCATAAATGAATAAACCCTTCAAAGTGTTATCTGGATTTGATTAAATGAATGAGAGGATGAACAATAACACTCAAGGTTGCCACCTGAAAACCTTGGCTTGCTGTGCCTAAAATATCATTTGATGTTACAGGATCAAATTTTAGGCCTATTCAGTCAATGGGATGGAGATTCTACAAATAATACATACAACAATACTCTGTGGATTATTCAGCACATAATCTACACAAACTATTTTCTCAGATAAATGCCACTCTAAAGATGTGCTTGATAACATTGCTTCCTTCTAAGAATGGAGCGTGAAGTTGGTTAAATGTGTTTAAGTGTGCATATGGGGGGTCATTTGTTTTTAGTAGCTGCTAGTTATACCTGAATTCTGTGCTTATTCAGTTCTTGTTTACGGTGAAAAGCAGATTTGGGGAACCAAAATACTCAGGCAAGTAGAAGTTACCTGGAAGCTTTACCTGATCTAAGACTGCAGGGTCTGTTCCTTAATATTTTATATTTAATAAATCAAAATTATGTATACATATTTTTAGAATACATATAAATAGTATCATGGTAATTTTCTGGTCTTGCTTTTGTTATGGGACCTCTTTGGTTTTTATAATCACTAGAAATAGGTAGCTAAATATACAAGCATACACATAGTCATAGGGTTCCAAATCAAAATAAAGTAATGCCACTATGTATACCAACACTTAAATAACATTTCTAGCAAATAAACATGAGAGTGCCACCAGACACAGGGATCTGCTAAAAGAAAAAAAGGTGGGGGGGAAGGGAAATGAAGCCCTTATGGCCTAGTAAAATGATAGAAAATGTGCTAGTTGGTGCTATCAAGAAAGGTCTTAGAAAGGCCCTGAACAGCTCTTCATTTTCAGAAGTCTTTTTCTTTAGTCCATCAGCTAATTTAAGTTTTACCACAAAATAAAGGAATTAGCTTGCAGTTATGAACTTGTTCTGGAAAGAAAGCCCTTAAGAATGAAAATATCTTGCTTCTTAAACTATTCAAAATATGGTGTCCCAGGAAGTGGAAGAATAAGCAGTTCATCAATCTAAAAATCATATTTCAGTCTTAGGTAAGATTTTGATCTAGGCTTTATTTTCAAGCTTCTTTCCCAAATATGTTTGCTCTATAATAAATTCTAGGATCAAAGATTAACAGCCTGCTATTGAACAGCAATATGCCTAGACCAGACCAATAGGTAGACCTAGAACCCTTTGTGAATAAAAGCAGTGGGAGGGAACATAAACACTGCTCTAAGCACATTCTCTTTCACTTTCAATTTTCATATTTTTATATGCCTTAAAAATTAATTCCACATCTATACTTCTTGACAACAAGCAGCAATGATTGGAAGGGGACAAATATAAATCAATGCATTTGGGGTACCAGCTTATTATTTCCCAAAGCAGATGCATGAACAGAATTTCTGGATTTTCCCTAAGAGCATATGCCATAATTAAACCTAGGATACTTTTCTAGAAAAAACACCCTTCTTTATTGTGCCAGTCAGGAGCGTATTTCATTAGACCAGAATGAGGTTTTGATGCAAGAGAAAAAAAAAATATTGTCCCTCAAGTTGAACTGCTATGGCAGAAATACAGGATTGCCCACGTTTCCCCTCTTTAGATCCCCAAATAAACACTAGACATTTCTGTCCGTGTCATCTTAAGCACCTCACTTCGGGTGAGGTAGCAGCATTAAAAGAGAAGGGGGGGAGGGGGGAGAGAGAGGGGGAAAATGACATATTAACGAGTTCAAGATGCAAACCTACTTGTAGCCAATAGTTCCCATCTTCTTAAATAGGAAATTCTCCTGCCACCACCAAGCATAATAGCTCTTCCGCTGTTAGCCCCGCATCTAAGCGATTCAGCTGCAGCCTCTGCTAAGGGCTGGAACGCTACTGGATCGCATCGCCTGAGTTTAAGGTTTATGGCTCTGAGACTCACGCAATCCCAGGCAGGGGAACACAAATCTCCCATTCGTTCGTATGGCAGCCTAGCTCTCTTTGTTGATCCTCCTCTGCTCGCTTCCTTTTCGCACCGCGGCACCGCTCCAGAGAGGCATCGAGGCACAATTTTCTCTGCGTCTGCGGGCTAACAATAAGAGAGCCTTGGGGAACCCCCCCCCAATAAACGCCCAGCGCCACCGCGGGCTTCGTGCCAATAAGGAGACAGCGGGCTGGATCGATCGGGATCGTCTAGGAGCGAGAAGGTGCAGCTGCGAGCCCACGCCTGGCCTGGCCTGCCTACAATGGAGGGGACGGGACAATAGCCCAGGCCGGACCCCGGCCCGCGGGGGAAGGAAGGAAGGGCAATGCAGCCGGGGGAGAGCGGAGCAAGGAGCGGTGCGGTGCGGTGCGGCGCGGCGGGCGGGCCCTAGCACGCGGGGAACAAGGCGGGCGCCTCTACTCACCGTGGTCTTGACCGGCACGTACAGCACTTGCTTGGCGCCGCCGTCGTCCGGGCCGCCGAGCTGAAAGCCTTTCGATTTGACCCAGAACTTGAATTTGGCGTTATCCGTGGAGCTGGACTCGGAGCCATTGAGGAGCTGCACGATGCGCTCGTATTTCTTGCGGGTCACCGTTTTGGTCTTGCCCGAGTCCCCGTAGGTCCGCAAGCACCAGTCTTGGAAGTGGCGGTACATGTCCCGCTCGCCGCTCTCCATCCTGCCGCTCCCGGCCCCGCCGCCTGCACCTGTTCACCTCGGGCTCATGAAAAATGCATCCGCCGCGGCGCTGCCAGGCGAGGCGAGGCGAGGCGAGGAGGTCCCGGTGCAAGCGGAGCCCGGCTGGGTTTTGTGCTGGGGGGATGGGCGAGGGGGGCAGCGATCAATGCAACCCTGCAGCCGCGTCCTCCTTCATTTTCTCTCTCTCTCCTCTCCCCCCACCCCCAAAAAAAAAAAAAAAAAAAAGGCAGTGCCGGATCCGGGAGGCGGACGGGTCTGGTGGAGGCCGGCGATCAGTGTCTAGTATTGCACGAGGCAGGACATCCCAGCGTCTCCGGCAGCGCCTGCCCAGAGGGGTTGGAGGGATAAATCATTACAATCCGAGCCCGTGGCTGGGGGCGGGGGGGAGAGAGCACATCCAATATGGGCTCGGCTGCTGCCCCCCTCCCCGCGGCCCCGCCGGGCCAGGTGGGAAGCGGCCCCAGGCCGGGGGAGCGCCTCTGCTTCGGCCGCCTCCCAGTGCAGGATGGAGGCGGCACTGAAGGGCACATCGGGCTCTTTCTGCTCCCCCCTTTTATTCCGGGCTCGCTTCGGGCATTAAGAGCTCCTGGAAAGCAAGCAAAAAAAAAAAAAAAAAGTTCTTACCTGTTATTTTCTAAGCCCGACACCTCCAGTGCACATGGCTGGGGGGGGCAGCCTTTCAGTCCCATTCAGTCTCCCTGGATTTCCCTTGCCCTTATTGCCATTGTCATTTGTGGACTTAAAAAAAAATATCCCAGCAGATGGAGGAGGGGGGAGGCCCCCTCGCACAGCCCGCGTCTCGCACACCCGGGGGCGCGGCCCCCGCCACAGCCGGGTCCCAGGGGAGGGGGCAGGTGCCCGGCCCGGCCCCGCCCGGGCACTGCTGGTGCTCGCACATGCGGGGCTCCCGGGGCTGGCGGCCCGGCCGGGAAGTTTGCCTGGGGATGCTTGAGAGAAACCTTTTGTCGCTGTTGTTTCAGAGCCCCCCAGCCCCCTCCCTTGGGCTTGGCCACAGCTTCAATGCAGGCGGCACGAGATCGCTGCGGCCGCCTTGCCCCCT